CAACTGTCTCATTAAGCATTCTCATTACTTTTAGTCCTCTGTCCGTGGATGAATGCAAGAATCTATAGCTGTGAAGTAATTCATTTTGCTATCTTGTCATTTACTTTCCTGTGCAGCTGAAGAAATGTTTCTCATTTTGGTTTTCTTATATCATGCAATAATTTTATTTTAAAAGTATAGAATGTTTCCTCCAAAATGTTTTGGTATTCACCAGGAAATTGATGTTATGGATATTGTAGAAGAGGAAAAGAATACTTTGTGTCAACTAATAGTATTGGAATCTACCAAATATTTATATGTTTAGGACAGCTGCTATTGTAACAACCATTTACAACTTTCTACAGAATCTCTGGGTTCATCATCTATTTACTTCCTAAGTCTTGCCATACTAGTTTAGCATGCTTGGGCAAAATTTCATCAGCCTTAAAGATAGACATTTTGGTAATGAACACAGTTGTTGGCGTGTACTTGACTGTCAGTCTCTGGGTTCATCTTAGGGGAGGGGTACATGTCAGAAGCTAAGCCACACATAGCCCTACCACTGTCTTCCTGTACTCCTTCCCCAGTGTCGAGAAGCACTAACTACCCGCCAAAAGCTGATTGCACAGGATTATAAAGTCAGTTATTCGTTGGCCAAATCCTGTAAGAGTGACTTGAAGAAATACCGGTGCAATGTGGAAAATCTTCCTCGGTCCCGGGAAGCCAGACTGTCCTACCTTCTGATGTGCCTGGAGTCAGCTGTGCACAGAGGTAGAGTTATTTCTTCTTATCCTTTTTATTCATTTTTTAGATTCACATTCTAAAGCTTCTTATACCTATAAATGTTAATTTCCTCCTATATTTGCTTTTTTTTTTAGCCAAAGTCTTACTTTGTGCACTCAGTAAAATAACCATAGCACCACAGAGTGCTGTGGTGTCACAGCTCACAGCAATCTCAAACTCTTGGGCTCCAGCAATCCTCTTGCCTCAGCCTCCCAAGTAACTGGGACTACAGCTGCCCACCACAACACCTTGCTAGTTTTTCTATTTTTAGTAGAGATGGAATCTCGATTTTACTCAGGCTAGTCTTGAATTCTTGAGCTCAAGCAATCCGTCTGTCTTGTCCTCCCAGAGTACTAAGATTATAGGAATGAGTCATCAAGCCCAGCCCTATATTTTCTCTTTTGAGGTTTTGGTGTTTTGTTGTTTTTTTTTTTTGAGATAGCATTTTACTCTGTCATCCAGGCTGGAGTGCAGTGACATAATATAGCTCACTGCACCTTGAACTCCTGTGCTCAGGGCAGTCCTCCAAGTAGCTGAGACTACAGGTGTGTATTACCACTCATGGCTAATTTTTTTTTTTCTCATAGAGATTCAGGTCTCACTATGTTGTTCAGGCTATTCTCTAACTTGTGGTCTCATGTGATCCTTCTGCCTTGGCCTCCCAAAATGCTGGGATTACAGGCATGAGTTACAGTACTCAGCCTTTCTTTCTTTTTTTTTTTCTTTTGGAAACAGAGTTTCACTTTGTCACCCTTGGTAGAGTACCATGGCATGATAGCTCACAGCAGCCTCAAACTCTGGGGTTGAAATGATCCTTCTACCTCAGCCTCCCAAGTAGCTGGGACTATAGATGCCCACCACAATGCCTAGCTATTTTTAGAGACAGGGTTTTCCTCTTGCTCAATCTGGTCTCCAACTCCTGAGCTCAAGCAATCCATGTGCTTCAGCCTCCCAGAGTGCTAGGATTGAGGCGTGAGCCGCTGTGCCCAGCCATAGCAGCCAGACTTTCTGTTTTGTTTTTTTTTTTTTTAAGACAGAGTCTCACTGTATCTTTGGTAGAGTGTCGTGGTGTCACAGCTGACAGCAACCTTCAACTCTTGGACTTAAGCAGTTCTCTTGCCTCAGCCTCCCAAGTAGCTAGGACTACAGGCACAAACCACAACACCTGGCTAGTTTTTATTACAGTTGTCATTGTTGTTTTTTAGCTGGCCCGGGCTAGGTTTGAACCCGCCAGCCTCAGTGTATGTGGCTGGCGCCATAACCACTGTGCTACGGGGGCTGGGCCAGCTTTTCTAATTTTTAAAATGCATAAGGTGCTGCATTTGGGGGAAAGTTGGGTTAGGGTAATTTAGCACATGGATCAGCAAGAATTGGCTTCAAATTATGGCTCTAAACAAACTGTCAAGATGACCATTTTTATGTTGTTTTATTTTGTTTTAATCTCTTTTATATTTACCCTACTGGCATTTATAGCTCAAAAAAGTGGGGAGGGGGTTTGTAAGGAACATTTGAAGTATAGTCTTTTCCACAGCTTTAATCGTGTAGACCAATATGGATTGTTGTTTGGCTTTCATTTTTACCACAATAGTTATCTTATTGATAAGACTTCGTGAACAAAGCATTTGCATTATTAGCTCAGTAGTATAAATTCTGAATAATGCAGAACACTGACAGGATAAATTCAAGTCTCTGAAGTCTAAGCTCATTTTATGCTACTAATAAAGCTTTTGCTAAATTCTAAGGTTTTCAGTCTAATATTAGCATGACTGGTAATATTTTATTCCAGGTAGAAACATGTATTTTTAATATGTGGTGTCTTCTTATCCTAATGAAGACCTTACCCTCCATCGTGTTATGACTTATATCCTAATTTAGGGCGACAAGTGAGCAGTGAGTGCCAGGGGGAGATGTTAGATTACCGACGCATGTTGATGGAAGACTTTTCTTTGAGCCCTGAGATTATCCTAAACTGTCGAGGGGAGATTGAACATCATTGTTCTGGATTACATCGCAAAGGGCGAACGCTGCACTGTCTCATGAAAGTAGTTCGAGGGGAGAAGGGGAACCTTGGAGCAAATTGCCAGCAGGCGGTAAGGAAAAATTTTCTGTTGCCATTTTGAATGTCACAATTTGTCAGCTGAAGAGAATGCTGTCCCAACTTTTTTTATCTGAATCCTTTGTGATATCATAGTGATATCTTTGGGTATAACTTAGTATGAATGTGGAATTTACTGCAGGGTTTAAGTAGAGCTCATAATAAAAAGAACTATTTACTTAAAAAGATAGGAGGAGGCTTGGCACCTGTGGCTCAAGCGGCTAACACACCAGCCACATACACCTGAACTGGCGGGTTCTAATCCAGCCTGGGCCGGCCAAACAGCAATGATGGCTGCAACAAAAAGACAGGGGAATAACTTGCTGGAGTTCCTTAAAAAAAAAAAAAAAAGGATAACTTACTAGGTTGAATTTTCTAAACTCAGAATCAAGACAAAGCAGGTTCTGGTTCATTAAGAAGTGTCTTCCACCAGAAGAGAATTTGCCTATCTAATAGGTTTGATTGAGCTGAAGTTGAAAAAGAGTTGATTTTTTTTTTTCTAGGAGTTTTTATTACTGATCTGCAGCATGTCATGAATTCTTGGCCTGTAGGATCAAGAAAGCATGTCATTTTCAAAATCATGCCATCTTTTCTTATTGGTAGGGCAACTATGCATGGAAGATCTTTCTTTCTCTACTTTTAAACTTTATAGTCAGTTCTGTAAAGGAAGTTGGAAAAAATGAACATATTTCACTTGGGAAGATAAAGTTCTTGGCTCAGTGCCCGTAGCCCAGTGGTTACGGCACTGGCCATGTATATACACTGAGGGTGGTGGGTTCAAACCCAGCCCAGGCCAGTTAAACAACAGTGGCAACTGCAGCAAAAAAATAGCTGGGGGTTATGGCAGGTGCCTATAGTCCCAGCTACGTGGGAGGCTGAGGCAAGAGAATCGCTTAAGCCCAAGAGTTTGAGGTTGCTGTGAGCTGTGATGCCATGGCATTATACTGAGGGCAACATAGTGAGACTCTGTCTCAAAAACAAACAAAAAAAAAAGCTGCTTTCTTGATACAGCAGATTTTGATACCTTTCTTTGGTTGACCTTTAATTTTCCCCATTCTCTGCTTGGTGGTGCTTTGATTGTGAACTCTCAATAAGTAAAGAACTCTAACACATAGAGATAATTATCTTCTTGAGTACATATTTTCCCAAATGCAGCATAATCATGAACTATTAAATTATCTTAAGTTATGGCCAAATGACTTTGTGGCTGGCTAGCTTCTCTAGTCTAGTCAGCTCTCTGGCACCTTTCCTCAGGTTTCCTAAGTGTGTCAGGGATTAGAATAGATATGTAATCATGTGGCAATTCACATTCTTCATACAGTAGAACCTCCATAGTTGACCACTCCTTAAATTGACCTAATTTTCATAGACTAGACATCTACCACATGTAGGTATCAGTACAGCAGGGCCAGTTCCTTATGTTGGCCACCTCGTATTTTGGCCATTATGTCAGTCTCTTGAGTAGTCAAATTACAGAAGATCTACTGTATCTTTCCTACTGAGTTCCAGAGTGGAAATGATCTCTTCAGTCTTTAGCCTATCCGGCTCTAATAGGGCATTTTCTCCTTTTTAACAGCCTAGTACATTTGTTGTGGTTTCTCAAAGTTTGCCTTTCAATTATGGATATTTAACTGACATAATTACAAAGACTTCCAGACTGCCATGGTGCTTCTAACTTCCCTCAGGAAGAAAAATGTAAATATTTTGGTCTTTACACAAACAATATAAGTGAAATTAGTAATCATTAGACAATAGTCTTTTTTTTTTTTGAGACAGAGCCTCAAGCTGTCCCCCTTAACAGCTCACAGCAACCTCCAACTCCTGGGCTCAAGCGAGTCTCCTGCCTCCACCTCCCAAGTAGCTGGGACCACAGACACCCGCCACAACGCCTGGCTATTTTTTGGTTGCAGCCATCATTGTTGTTTGGCGGGCCCGGGCTGGATTTGAACCCTTCACTTTAGGTATATGTGGCTGGCACCTTAGCCACTTGAGCCACAGGCGCCGAGCCGGACAGTAGTCTTTCTACCAGCTAACCACAGCATTTTGTAGTTTTTCCAAATTACCACCAACGAATCGATACAAATAACTTGCATCTCAGAATATTGGAAATCTTTAGTATTTCTCTCTTCTCGATCTTTATCTTCTTTAATTTAGGATAATAGAAATGTTTTTCTTGGGTGGCACCTGTGGCTCAGTGAGTAGGGTGCTAGCCCCATATACTGAGGGTGGCGATTCAAACCCAGCCCCAGCCAAACTGCAACAAAAAAATAGCTGTGTGTTGTGGCGGGCACCTGTAGTTTCAGCTGCTCGGGAGGCTGAGGCAAGAGAATTGCTGAAACCCAAGAGCCGGAGGTTGCTGCGAGCTGTGACACAACAGCACTCTACCGAGGGTGACAAAGTAAGACTCTGTCTCAAAAAAAAAAAAAGAAATATTTTCTTTTCTTCATGTCCTTTTGATTTGTGCTGATTAATATGTGGTGAGGGCAGTGCCTTCATGTAAGAACTTGCAGACAGATGTGAGGATCAGAGAAGGTTCCAACAGAGGACAGATTAGTGACATAAAAGGGCACCAATTCTTTTTTTTTTTTTTTTTTTTTTTTTTTTTTTTGAGACAGAGCCTCAAGCTGTCCCCCTGGGCAGAGTGCCGTGGCATAACGCTCACAGCAACCTCCAACTCCTGGGCTCAAGCGAGTCTCCTGCCTCCGCCTCCCAAGTAGCTGGGACCACAGGCGCCCGCCACAACGCCCGGCTATTTTTTGGTTGCAGCCGTCATTGTTGTTTGGCGGGTCCGGGCTGGGGATTCGAACCCGCCACCTTAGGTGTACGTGGCTGGCGCCTTAGCCGGTTGAGCTATAGGCGCCGAGCCGGCACCAATTCTTTAATTTGGAAAAAAGTAACCCAAACCAGTAAGGTTTGTGGTTTTCAGATTTGCTTTGTTGTTTAAGATCCCTAACCCTTGCTTCTTGCCGGACGCCGCTGACGTGGTTTTCAGGCACTTCGTGGAGGTCAGCTGAGTAGCCTATGTTTCCTTTGGGCTTCATGCTGGAAAGCTTGTAGCAATTGTAGATGTTACTGATCAAAACAGGCCACTTGAAGGAGGATTTGATGGTGTAGAAGTAAAGCTGTATGAATCAAATTGAGTGTAAATAAGACTGCTATAAAGCTTTGGTTGATGGACCCTGCACTCAGGTAAGAAGATAGGTCATGCCTTTCAAATGCATGCAACTCACTGACTTCATCCTCAAGTTTCCACACAGTGCCTGCCAGAAGTATGTCCAACAAACCTGGCAGAAGGCAGATATAAATACAAAATGGGCAGCCACAAGATGGGCCAAGAAAATTGAAGCCAGAGAAAGGAAAGCTAAGATGACAGATTTTGATTGTTTTAAAGTTATGAAGGCAAAGAAAATGAGGAATAGAATAATCAAGAATGGAGTTAAGAAACTTCAAAAAGCAGCTCTTATGAAAGCTTCTCCCAGCAAAAGTTCCAGCAAAAAAGATGACCACTATAAGCAAGAAGGCTGCAGCCCAGAAGGTTCCTGCCCAGAAAGCCACAGGCCAGGAGGCAGCACCTCCTCCAAAAGCTCAAAAGGGTCAAAAGGCTCCAGCCCAGAAAGTAATTGCTCCAAACGCATCTGGAAAGAAAGCATAAGCGGCTATGATGAAAGTAATAAAGGTTCTTTCTGCCAAAAAAAAAAAAAAGATCCCTAACCCAAACATCATCTGCTACTCATCTGTGATAACAATGACCTTTTACATCTATGAAGTCCCTTGCAGTTTACGCAGTGTTCTCCCATATATCAGTATTATTTTTTTTTTGAGACAGTCTTACTTTGTCACCCTTTCTAGAGTGCTGTGGTGTCACAGCTCATAGCAACCTCAAACTCTGGAGCTCAAGCAATTCTCTTGCCTTAGTCTCCCGAGCAACTGGGACTACAGGCACCCTCCACAACTCCCGGCTATTTTTTTTGTTGTTGTAGTTGTTATTGTTGTTTAACAGGTCCAGGCTGGAATTGAACCTGCCAGCCCCTGTGTGTCTAGCTGGTGCCCTAACCACTGAACTACTGGCACTGAACCCCCATATATTATTGTTTGACAATTTTCTGCAGCTAAAGAAACTGAAACTTAGAGATTAATCAACCTGTCCATGTTCTCAAAGGTAATATCTCCCAGAGGTAGAACTATTAATAGGTCCTCAGATTCATGATTTAGAACTTTTTCCACTATCCCCATGCCCCTCATTTTCTCAAAAAAGGGAAAAAAGATACGAAGTACATATTTTTATACCTTTCCTTTATTTCAGGAGAAACTATGGATTGAGCAAATTTGTTTATTGTCATTTGTTACAGATCTTGCGAAGTATTTTTCTATATGCTTATAATAAGCAAGCTCAGGTTTATCTCTTAGTTTTATAAATTGAGGAAAAATAGAAAATTATAAGTATTGCAGTCTTGGTTTTCTTTTTTTTCTTTTCTTTTTTTTTTTTTTTTTTGAGATGGAGCCTCAAGCTATTCCCCTGGGTAGAGTGCCATGGCATCACACTCACAGCAACCTCCAACTCCTGGGCTCAAGCGAGTCTTCTGCCTCAGCCTCCTAAGTAGCTGGGACCACAGGCGCCTGCCACAACACCTGGCCATTTTTTTTTTTGGTTGCAGCCATCATTGTTGTTTGGTGGGCCCAGGCTGGGGATTCGAACCCGCCAACTTAGGTGTATGTGGCTGGCGCCTTAGCCGCTTGAGCCACAGGCACCGAGCCGCAGTCTTGGTTTTCATAATTGATATTTCTTTAAGTTAAATGAAATCTTACACCTGCTCTTAGTAAAGCACAGAACACTTGAGTGAAGATCAGTGTCTTTGTATCAATTTGAATTCTAGATTCTCATGAGCAAATTAGGTCTCTTACTGGGAATATCTCTTATCTTTTCTCCTCTCAATTCTGGCTTGGCCCTGAGTGTTGGTTTAGTAATCTGATTAACAACAAGGAAGATATAAGGAAAGTGGCAGGCTTCGTATTAGTCTTGTAAAGACCTGTTATTTTGTACATGTCCAGGATTGGTTTGGAACAGTTAGATAAGCAGTCCTCACAGGGACTTAGAAAAATTTCCAGTCACATTGAAGAAACCAGTTGGAATGTATTTGGCAAGAGCTCCTAAGCTTGGCAAGTGATAGGTGTTGTATACCTTGGTGGAATACTGTGTGATATACAAGACTGAGCAACTGAATGTATGAAGAGATGACCTTGCTCTTCCATGCTGTCTAAGTTATTTTCTTTCTTCTTTCTTAATTTTTTAAAATCTAGCTTCAGACACTGATTCAGGAGACTGACCCTGGTGCAGATTACCGCATCGATCGAGCTCTGAATGAAGCTTGTGAATCTGTAATACAGACAGCCTGCAAACATATAAGATCTGGAGACCCAATGTAGGTTATCTTATCTGTGGTATTTATCCTTATAGTCTTTCACTTGGTAGCAGAGAGAACATTCCTTCAAATGACTTTTGAGTGGTTTAACATCTTAACTGAAATTTTGTTGAACAGGAACATACTAAGTTCTCTTAAAACTAATATTGGAATTCAGATGGCAGTTCTGCCTCTTCTATGATGCAGAGACATCTAGACTCAGCAGTGTGATTGATGTTCATTGGTAATGATTGAGCACATACAGGTCCATGCATGAGGTGACTGAGTAATTTTATATAATAGTCAAATAAAAATGAGAAACACTCAGGATAAAGTGACACATACCTGACACTGTATATAATTTATCCTATGTGTATGTTGACTTGTATACTTTAGCTGCTTAATAATCATTAGCAAATAGTTAATTCTAGGCCCAGCGTGGTGGCTCATGCCTGTAATCCTAGCACTCTGGGAGGCCAAGGTAGGTAGATCACTTTAGCTCAAGAGTTCCAGACCAGCCTGAGCAATAGTGAGACCCTGTCTCTACTAAAAATAGAAAAACTGGGCTCGGCGCCTATAGCTCAACCGGCTAAGGCGCCAGCCACGTACACCTAAGGTGGCG